CGGTGTGTCGGAGGGACTACAGATGAAGGAAAGGTCGAAGGAAGGACAAAACGCTTGGCAAGCCTACCTTCGAATAAATAAAAATAGGAATGGTTTTCCGCGCAACCATATATATATATATATATATATATATATATATATATATATTAATATAATTAGAAAAAAAACTAATATTAGAGTGACAAACGACAGTGCACCTGATAAAACCAGCAACCAACAACTAGCTTCAAACAAAGAAGGCTATAGACTCTTCCTAGCTCTAAATTCAGGACCAGTAAACAGGAGTCTGCAGTGAGATATATTTTATGTAGATTCCCATACACTGCTACTATAAGGCACTAGTTAAGCTGATACTGGTCAAACATTTTTAACATAAAAAATATAAAACCTTTCCGGTTTATCTTTTTCTTACATACAACAGCGAGTATTTCAAGGTTATAAATAGTGAATAAAAATGTTTGTTGTTTGTATGCACAGCATAAGACTATTATGTTTTCTGAAAATGCTAAGCGCAAAATTAAACACAAAGCATTTTACCTAAATGGCCGAAAGTCAAAAAGTCGGCTAATTTTCACTAGTACGGTTCAAACGTAAATTTTTTGAATTATAAATTAGATTTGAACCTCAGAGTGCTGTGCAAATTCGTTCGTCTGCCATCAAACTGGATAAGCCCCTTTGACGTCCATCATTGCCATTTCTTGCATGTCGAGACGCTATAACGAATCCTAACTTTTATATTTAAAAGGCTACGTAAACGTGATCGAAATACGAATGAAAGTTACACATGAAAAAATAGAAATTAAGTGAATTTTAGAACTATACTGAAATTCCTGTAGGTTTAATATGAGGCGATGGATAATGTTAGGGGATCTCCTAGCTTTCGATGACATTACTACATTCTTTTTTGTATCAGATGAGAGGCTAATACTAATAGCTTCGTTTTAAAAAATAAAAGTATAAACAAGCACCCGATAGTAAGTGGGTTCTGTGTCTTATAGCCACCTACATCTACCGTCAATTAAAAATCCTAATCATTTGCGTTATCACACCTAAGGTCTAAAATGAAATGCCTCTTTACCATTAAAAAGGGTTGCCGATTTTCTGAACTCACAAAACGAAACAGCAACATCTTGGTACTATGGTACTATTATCTGTTGGAGGCACGCTGTAGCTGTATTACGGTTGAAGCACGAATAGATCGGCTCCACCCGGAATGGACTACGCTCTCACAGAATATAAGCGTGAAATAGCAGCTTAATGCTGATATATATCTAACCTCTGAGTATAGAGAATCGGCGACCTCTTTTACTAAAAACAAGGCATTCGACCTTAGCCTTCAGGGGTGGCAACGAATCTGCGTATTGATTCTAAATCGAGGATAGATGTCGATGAGTCAGAGCATGCATTTACCATTAGGACTGTGTACTTGTCAGTCACCCTAATTCTATAAAAATATTTTCAAGTTAAAATAATGTTAAAACATTTTACAAACATTTTTGAACCTTTGTTCCCGATATTTCCTTGCAGTTCATTGGTTATTTCTAATCATCAACAGCCCGTTAAAGCTTATGGCATGATATGGACCTTATTTGTAGGAACAAAGGTGACAAGCGAACACACAGTCAACTAACGGGACAACGCTCTCACTGAATATCAATGTGAAATAGCAGCACAATAGTGCTGTGTTTTGTATGGTGAGTGTAGAGAACCGGACACCCTTTTTACTGAAAACAAGGCATTCCATATTAGTCCTCAAGGTTGGCAATAGTTTACCTTTTTAAGTGCTAATAACGAAAAAAAAGCAACAATGTACATTATGTCACGGCTAAAAGCCGAAGTTCCACTACATCTAGCTTTACTAGGTTTAGCCGGCCACAACTAGTTGCAACCGATGGCGGTTGGTTAAACTTAGATGTATTCGATTTTAAACTAGGTGTAGCCAATCACTTTCGGGTAAATCTTTGTATAGTAAAGTTCGAATAATAATTAAAATAACTATGACTTCTCAGAAATTTGTCAAATATATGAAATCACATATGTACAAGTACGTAGGTAAGTAAATAACAAGTAATATCAGCGACAGTAAGTTAAGGTGCAGCTGACATAATATGTTAGGCGTTGCATTTATATTAAGAGTATATATAAATTATTCTGACTTTTCCTAATTCGCTGGGTACACTGAGATTTACCTGGCATTATCCGTTGTAGATGGCTAAACCTAAGTGTATCCGCAATGTTAACGTATAATTGTGCAACAAGTGGATACAGGCCTATAATTTATTTATATATTAATAAAATAAATGCAATAAGAATCAGCCGCACTGCTTTTGCGCGTGTTAACGAGTTAGTTAAAGTTACTGGTACTCATTTCTGAGACGGTTTTAAGGCAAGGAAATGTTTGCCGCGATGCCTCAATGCGTGTTGGCGAACTTCAAATGTCTTCGTAATGTTTGTGTTTTTCTATTTATCAGACATGTCAGTTTCCTCCCGATTTATTTCTTCACCGCCTAGCATATGGTAATTATTTTTTTTTAACTATTACTTTTAACTTTTAATCGTAGCTTTATTAACACTGCTCACAATGTTCAACGCCTAACATGCGCCAACCTGAACATAAAATATAAACCAACAATTACATTAAGATCAGCAACGAAAATAATACTATATATGTATTGTACTAAGGGCTCAGCTAAAGTACAAAAATTAATTTTAAAACAAGCGCCCTGAATTAACGGCTCCAATTTAGACGTATATATTATAAAAATATAAAACCGTCTGTTTTTTATCTATATAAATTACGTGTCACGTTGTGTTGGACTCCCAAACTACTCAACCAGTTTTAATAAAATTTGCACACCGTGTGCAGTATGGTCACACTTAAGAGATAAGATAGATTTTTGTCCATGAGTGACCCACAATTTTTTTGCGTATTTAAGGATTTTTAATAGGACATGACAAAGGGTCGTCGAAAAGGGCAGAACAACGTCTGTCTGGCAAGCTAGTATAGATACAAAATCGTGTGTTACACAATTATAAAACCGTATGTTACATAAATACAAATATAAATAAGACCGTAAAGTGGCGGTGTAATAATATCTACTACCCCACATTGACCCGTGGGTCAGAGGCCAACAAATTAGATCAAGGTAATATCGTGTTCCCAATAACAATTAAAAATAAAAACTGCAGTTACCAACCCGCCTGCAAAGCGCGGCAACTATGGCAAATATCCGCCTTATGAGACAATATATGGAGGAGGTCCAGCGGTGGGCTCTTGATAGACTGTAACAGTTGAATAAAATTAAATTTACGGATTCTATCGCGTTTATTTAACTGATTTTACTTATTTTTAATTCCCGACGTTTCGGATGCTTTGTTGCAACATGTTCACAGACTGCAGACTTCTCAGAGCGTCGTCGTCTGCAGTCTGTGAGGAGATGTCCCACCAACATATTTGATAAACGAAAATCCTCGCAAAAGAACACCGATTCCTACCAAGGATGATACGCGAGGCTATTGAAATTAAAAAACATCCTAATTTCAATAGAGAAGATGGTTGGGTGCTGCCATCTGCTTGGGATCCTATAATTAACAAAATTAAAGCCCAAACCCAAGCATACCACTGCAGGACTTCAAGATACTGTAAGTTCGTTTTTCGTAAATCGGACCAAAAATTAATATTCAAAAAATGAAGGTAGCCATTGGGCTAACAATGACATTGGGACGTCAAACATCTCGTCCCCCCCCGTGACCATGGGTGCTGTAAAGCACCCGAAACGTCGGGAATTAAAAATAAGTAAAATCAGTTAAATAAACGCGATAGAATCCGTAAATTTAGTTTTATTCAATGTGTAGTGTTCGCGTAAATTTAAGAAATCATTAGACTGTAACAGTAATATAAAAATAAACAATTTGTTGTATGAAATATATCGAGCAAGAAAAAAATGTTTGTATTGAACAAAAAAGAGGTAACACAAATATAATACTGTGATATTATGGTAAGGCAAAGAAGATTATAGCTTTTGACACTTATCTATGATAAAACTTGTCATATTTACATATTTTTAAGAAGATATCTTTTTCTTGTATCAATTTTTATACAAGCATTATTATAATAGCAAGACATGGTTTGGCCAACAGAATATGATACCAAGCTCTCTGAAGTAAGTAAAAAATTGTTTTCAAATTATATTTTAAGTTCAATCAAAATCGCTTTTAGTATTTTCGACAACCTTTTTATCCTTATTTACAATCTTTACATCACAGTAAAAAAATCTTCTTTATCGTTTAGACGAGTTTAATACATAACTTTCATGAAGACAGACATCCCGAACTGGAACAATAATTTATTGTGCTCGAAACGCAGCGCTTTTGCCAAATTCTAAGCCATCTGAGCTTTTTTATTATTTTATATTGCTTGATTACAATCCCACCTGATGTAAATTACGTAGTGATGTCTTGAAAGCACCATATTATAATCTGATAGAAAAACATTATGAAAACAAAAAACCTTTTGGTTCGAATGTGTGGTAATGTCGAAAATAAAGCGATAGAGACCAGCTGAGCATCTTGTAGTCCGATAATGCATTTATTGGGTTTTTCTTGAATTGTCTTCATCAAAGAGATCTGTTCAAATTCGGTTTTCCAAACTGATACCACCTTTTAACAAAAAAGTAGTTTAAAGTTATTAGTCTCAGGTTTAAACTTCTCTGTTTCAATAAAGAAGTTCCACAAATAGAAAAGAAAAGAAATGTTTTTATAAGAGATGAATAGAATTTTGTGAAAGATTTACCATCAAAAAAGAACAATGTGGCTTCCAGAAAAAGAAATCTACAACACTAGCAACTTTTAATCTTACAAAACCAATAATTTCTAGAATAAATAATAATAACCTACTAGCAATAGAACTATTGACACTTTTAATAAACTGCGAGTTATAATAGGGAGGATAATGACTTGAATGGTCAATAATAAGTGAGTTTGTTGAACAGTATGATGCTATGGAATTACCCGGTCAACAATTGTTAGCTGCAAATGCGTATACCCCTTTAGACCATGTTTTGAATTTGGATATTAAATCGCCAGCAGGATGTCAACGCCTAACAGGAATTATAGCAACAATAGGTAAGGTTTCATTATCTTAATAATGTTTCCACCATCATAGTCAGAATAAAGTTATCAATAAGCAAAGTCACCTAATATAATGAGGAAGCAATATGCAATATTTTATTCAGAAGATAACAGTATTTTTTATGTATTCATGTTTTACTTATGATGTACTTAATCTTACACTGAAGTGAGTACATAATTAGTACCTATATTGTTTGTTTGTTTATGTGGTTTTAAAGCAGGAAAAATCCGTTCAGAAAAATTTGTGAAATTTACATTCGAACCGTATGAGCACAAAGACAATATAAATTAAACATGAATAACGTACAAGACTACCAAACCACGAGACAATCTATAGGGAGGCCTATGTACAGCAGTGAACAATGACTAGCCGTAGTGAAAATTACGATGAATATAAAAGAGGGTGAGATAAGGAAAATCGGTAGTAAAATATAAAAGTTCAAGGTATCGATTTCTTTGGCATAGAGTTAATAATATCTGTAATACTTACCGAATATTCTGCGAAAAACAAACTTTGGTCGAATCTCATTTGGAGAGAAATTTAATTACCGAAACAGAAGCTTAATGTGACAAAAATTGTTTTTATTTCTTTTAAAGGAAAATCTTCAAACGATATAGAGACTATGGAAAAAATGATGGCAGCTGGTATGAATGTTGCTCTTCTTAATTTAACATTCGGTACCAAAGAAGAACATATTGAGACTATCAAAATGTTGCGGCAAGCAGCAAAGAATTATAGTGTTGTTGTAGGTAAAAATTATCCTTTGGCAATTGCCGCCCGCTTAGTTGGACGTAAGATAAGAACCGGAAACATTTCTGATGTAAGCCTTTGTTAAACGTATTTTCTTTTTTTTTTCTTCTGACAAAAGCTCTGGACGTGTACTTTTTTAATGTAGGGAATATTTGCCTTAGACAATAATAATTTTTGGTAGGCGGTTTAACGATCGCAATGCCAGGCGTCCCGCACCTTTCACGCTGCTGCCCGTTGTCAGTCGGCTTTACGTCTGATGCAAACAAGATGGTTATAATGTCATATATCGAGACCATTAAGATCGTTCTGGTATATTTTCATCTATCGTCTAGTATTATTTTCATAGCCGCCTCCATGATAGAATGGGGTAATGGAATCTTTTATGTCACCATTTTTATTAATAAGTTGTAAATATTACCATATGATCTGCGGTAATGGCAACGTGATACAGATATATGACGAGAATTTCCTCAAATAAAATATTGCCTTTCAGACTAACGAAGGACCCGTAGAGCTAATATCAGGCGAAACGGTTCGTCTAACTACAGATACACTTTACAAGGACCGATGCTCTAGCAGTACTGTGTTCGTTGATTTCATAAATTTTGCTGAACAACTAAAAAAAGGCGATATTGTTCTACTGGACAATGAAACAATACAACTTAAAGTTGAGATCATATCGAATACGACGTTGACATGCAGAATAGAAAGAGGTGGATTTTTAGGATCTAACAAAGATGTGTTCGTTCCAAACGTTGTCCTAAAGACTCCTAATTATTCAGAAAAGGACAAGACATATATTGATATGGCTGTGCATCACCAGGTATATTTTTTTCGATACTACATTTACGATTTGAACCAAATTATGCACTTCCGAAAAACTATCCAAAGTTACCGTCATTTTCTTTTTCTTCTTCAGCGCGTAAATGTCTACTTTTACACATATTAGCTTCATCCTATTCTGTACAATCAAAACAAAAACAATCATACACAGATTTCTCACGATTCCTCACTCGGCCTTACACCTTCCGCTGCCCGATGAAACGTAACATTAAATCAAATAAAGCTAAAAATATGACTAAAATCTACTCGAATACATTTTTTTTAAACTGGGGTTTGGAAAAACGTCCTCTCTAACTGGAATTCTAACTCGGGAATGGGGTACGAAATATATGAAAGCTTTCCCTATTTTTTATAATTCCTAATATTTTTAAACATATCAGATTAAAAATATGTAAAATAAACGAGTTTGATCTACTGCTGAAGCTTTTATTCATTGATAAAGTAATCATTGGTGATAATTGTGTTGTGGATTGTAATAATGTATTCTTAGCTTATTGTATATTATAATCCCTTCTTTTTTACTGACATAACTATCTTAAGATTTCAGTAACCGTTCTTTGGGTTTTTCTGTCCAATTCCAGTAGTAGCCAGGAGTCAGGTACTTTGCAGACTTTGTTGGTCCTGCGCGTAACTTCTGTCCAGTCGTATCAGAGATAGCATTTGAGCACACACTTGTGCACTATAATCCTGTGCCGGCCAGATTTCCGTTAAGACTAGCCGCCATGATCTAAATCGGTCAGGAGAATGTTATTATTATACTGCCTTGTGAACATATTTTGTGGGAAATATGTTTTATCTTTTTTGTTATCTTTTTAATACTTATACGTCAATATAATAGATAGAATCAACAGAACATATCGAGTGTACAGTTAGGTCATTATAATTTAGTTGATTGGTGGGGTTAGCCTTTCTATAACAAGAAGATAATTGACACGCGTGGGAAAACTAGCAACTAAGAAACTTTAATCGACTAAATTTCAGAATTACTTCTTTGGTAATACCATTGGATGGAAACATTAATTAATTTTCTTTTTCAGCTGGATATACTAATTGCGTCATTTGTCAATTCGGTAGATTCTATAATTGAACTAAAAAATATGTTGGGCGAGAAAGGCAAAAGGATTGCTGTTATTGCCAATATTCAGACTACAGAAGGCTATCGCAACTATGACGAAATTCTTGAGGTTATTAGGCTTTCATATTCATTTAAAAAATAATTTTCTGCACCGTTTGTATATATAAAAGTTTACTGCTAAACATTGGTCTCCCCCATACATTGCCTCATAGAGAGAATTTTACCAAAGTTTCCACGCTTAGCTGGCGGGTTGACAACCTCTGGTTTTTTATTATTTCAAATTTTTTATAATTAATTTGTTATCAGGAAAATGCTGCTGCCACTCACCTGTTTTTCTTACAACACCCACGGAATGATATAGAATATTCATATAGGACATAAGATCCTAAATTTAAAAAAAAATATAAAATTATATAAAAATCATTCGTTGTCGATAACTTCTTGTTATCGTCGTAGTGGAAAATAGATGAGAAAAATATTGACATGAAATTAAATGTATCATGTTAAAGCTATTAGTATTAATAATTCCAAGTTTTAAATTACCTTTAACAGTGATTTTTAATATTTAATTATTAGTTCGAAATATTTATTTTGTTCAAAACTTATTGTAAAACCACAAATAACATTGAGAATCGTTTGTTATATTGAGCCAAAGAGATTTAAATATATAATAACTATAGAGCGGACATTGGAAAAATTTGCATACAAAATCTGTGAGCACGCGCGTGTGTTAATTCCCTCTAGCGAAATATAGCAATACTACGCTGAATATTTATTTGGAAAACATTTTAGCCATTTCCCATTAGGTGACGCTTCTAAATATAAGGTTAAAATCGGTTTTAGGCACGTCGTCAATTACTAACATATACATTAGTAACACAGTAATGATATATAGAAAAATTATTTTAATTAATAATTTTTCTTTCTTCTAGAACAATCGACCGGAAATAATAAAATTTAAAGATTAAGAAAATATTCTTAGGATAATAAACCCAAATCATGTTCATTTTTTTGCTCCATATCGTGACTTACTATATCTTAATGCACAACCGGGCATATTTTCATTAAAAATATTTTTTAAATTTGTGAAACGAATGCGTCTTGACCTTTCGGTGATGTCACTTAGACTAAATGACAAAAATCGGAGATATATCCTATGGGACAAAAGTTACAGACGACAATTTTGTTGCTGATGTCCGGTCTATTACTACTACATACTTAAATATCTTTGTATGGAATATAAAACCAAGCCAAATTTATAATATTTTACAGTCTGTATACGATCCACTTTAATGTATTTACATATTTTGTTTCTCATTTAGAACGTAATCTATAACGCTAGGATTCTGCGCAACGTCGCTGCATTTTACATAAATTTTAGTTTCATATAGACACTCAGACCTGAAATCTTGTTTTGGGTTACAATCAAACTTGCAGGCCACAAGGACATCGCTAAACACTTATCCAATGCTCCACCAAACGGGCATAGTATAATCAAAAGTAGATCCTTAAATGTTTGCTAAAACAAAGATATGTGAAGTTTTTTTTCTGTTGCAGTAATTTTATCATTTTTTATTAATTCATTACTTTATTTTGTTTACATCAGGTAGCAAACGGTATTATGATAACTAGACAAGAGTTGGGATCTGACATTTCACCGGACAAGCTGGTAATTGCTCAAAAAAATATGATTGCACGAGCTAATAAAGTAATGTCCTTCCAACTTTTTATTGATATTCAATTCTGTGTATTTTTTTTCTTTCTACAATAATTATCAAATATATTCTAATTTGTATTTTTTCTCAAAAGTTATCATACAAGGTAAAGTAAAACTATTTTTATAGGCAAATGTTCCGGTATGTTTGTCTGCCCACCTTTTAAGCAGTATGAGATACAACAAGATTCCTCTTAGAGCAGAGCTTCTAGATATTGCAAATTGCATTTTAGACGGTGCCGATGCGTTAGCACTTTCAGCAGAAACAGCAGTTGGAATTTGTCCGGTAGATACCATAGCCTGTATGGCAAATGCTTGTAAGGAATCAGAGGCATGTGTGTGGACTAAACAGGTGTTTCAAGATTTTATTGACAAGGTTGTGTTTCGTTCCCTATATTCTCATTTTTATGTTAAATACCTTTCTCCTCAGTCAAATACTTTTTTTATATTTCCTAGACACCAGTACCATGTGAACAGTCAACGGCTATAGCAATGGCCGCGGTGTTAGCATCACATCGGACAATGGCGCCTGTCATTATTGTATTAACGACGATGGGCAAGTCAGCGTTTGAAGTGGCAAAGTACAGACCCAGATGCCCTATCATTGCAATTACCAGACATGTAATCACTGCACGTCAGATGCATTTATACAGGGGCATTATACCTCTTATTTATGAAGGTAAAAACTTTGAAATATTCGTTTTATAGACACTGTGTATAATAAATCTTCATATATTTTAAACGAACAACCTGTATATGTTCTACTGATACACGCAAGTGTAACAATCAAGTAAGAGTATGAGCGAAAAGTTGTGCTTGGTTGACTGCTCATATCTTCAAATGCTTTTAAGTAGAGTGGAATATTTACCGGCGTCTGTCTTTCCGTCCGAAGAGAATTTGGGCGTCTTCAAGCCAAGAAGAACAAGCTTTTGTTACGCTAAAACATGATATAGGGCTAGATCGATGGGATTGCTGTCAAGCAGTAGCCTATAAGTAATAAAACGTATAAAAATCTTTTAAATGTTTTATAATAACATCATGATCTTTTAAAAATAATACCATTTATTCGTATAGTAGTAAGTATATATATATATATATATATATATATATATATATATATATATATATATATATATATATTTATTTTTATATATTAGATGGAAAAGAAACCATATCAATCTTGGATATAGTGTGTCAAGGTATTGTATAAAAGAGATCGAAATTTTTATATTTTCATTTCAATATTAGTTGTAAAATATTTCCAACAAAACATGTTTCTAGGTACCTAATATGTTTTTTTTTTCAATTTGTCTACAAATTGAAAAAAACATTGTTTTACAATGGATACGACAATAATTATGAAAAACACCTATGGGAAATATTATGTTTAACGACATATTAAAGAACCGTTTATTTTTAGCTACTTCTGATGTAGACTGGCAAATTTACCTCGAACAACGGATATCTTTTAGTACCAAATGGGCAATGCAGAGAGGTTTCGTCAGAGTAGGAGACCCCATTGTTTTAGTGTGTGGTTGGAAACAAGGCTCCCAATTCATAAACACTATGAGAATTGTCTACGCAACGACTGATGTTGGTGTTTCCTAGAAATGTGTAATTTAGCAATATTTTAATCAGATTGAAATTAAAGAAATATTTTTTCTAAAATATTTTCCGTTTTTTACTGACAAGTATAATAATACTCAATATGCAACTGATTTGTAATATCTTCATTTAATTCAACTTTAACAATTTCCTTGAAACTATAAAGTGCTTTGTAATCTAAGAAACAAGTTCTGTGACTCTTCATGTGTGTAATTTAATATAATATAGTCGATCATAAGGTTTGACTAAATAAAATTTCAGGGAGTTTTTTTTCTTCGCACCGATGATTTGTCACCCCATCCTGTAAAAATAATGAGATGATAAGGTACATAACTTTATTATTAAATTAAAAACATATAATTTAATTTAAACATATTTAAGGCCATTGCGTGTATCATTTACTAGTGTTAAAAGAGATGTGTGTGGTAAACGTACGTATCTATATTCCAGTAACAAAAAACACCTATTTTAGATTATGATTAAATTCTTCATGGATCTCAAGTATTAATAAGCACAGGAATTATTAAATACTAGCAATGACTTTAATATCATTGTAAGCGCTCCTAGTAAGCTTCAAATGCTTGCGTTGACTTTTAAATCAAACACGGTTATTATAATGGAGAAACGGTTTACTTGGAAGTCAGCTGATGCAACGGCCGCAAGCTGGAGACCGCGTAACTAGTTGCCTCTAGTAGCGCTTTCATGATTACGCATGTTACTGTCTCATTACCAGTTATACGTGGGTCGGTATTCATAACAATAATGAATGACAAAGAAGTGAACCAGCATAGATATTAATAAAAATTCATCTACTTTCAAGAATCTATACGTGAATTAATTAAAAGCCTAGAGCAAATAATATACATTTTTGAATTACATAGATCACTCAATAAGTTTTGAGATGCTCAAAATTTAAAAATGGAACGCACCCATGTTATATGTTTCTAAAAAGGAAATTTACGAGGGTGGATTGAAAAGTACTCGGCCTAACACAGATCCATTCAATTCTAAAAATCAAATCTACCCACATTATTTAGTGCAGTTCAGACTAGTTCATTGTGTGAAGTTCGAAACGTGTGCGATAATTAGTTGTGATTTTATAAATTTATTAACAAAGTAATCGGACATAATTTCCGCGAATTCGCGCGAAAAATTTTGTCGGCAAATAAGGTGATGGCTTCAGTATTCTGGGACTCGAAAGGTGTGATTATGATTGATTATCTTGAAAGGGGTCAGACTATAAACTCTGATTACTACTGCACCTTACTACGTCGTTTACGAGAGGAAATAAAAGAAAAACGTCGAGGAATGCTCAGAAGAAAAGTCCTGTTTCATCAAGATAACGCCCGTGTTCACACGTCAGTACAGTCAATGGCTGAAATTCACAACTGTGGCTTTGAACTGTTACCGCATTCGCCGTATTCACCTGATCTGGCACCATCAAACTTCTTTCTGTTCCCTAACCTAAAAAAGCACTTGGGAGGTCAAAGATTTTCGACAAACGACGAGGTCAAAGCAGCTGTAGACGCATATTTTGACTCTAAGGAAGAATCATTTTTTTGAACGGTCTAAATGCTAGGAAGGGGAGGTGGCAAAAGTGTATTGAACTTGATGGTGATTATGTAGAAAAATAAAAATATAACTGATTTAGTATGTGTTTATTTTCTTGGTTAGGCCGAGTACTTTTCAATCCACCGTCGTATTTAAAAATAGAACTCCATAAGCCAATTGCTCAATATAAAAAAAAACAAAGTTCTATTAATTTTCCTGCAACGCTTCCCGCGCTTTTCATTTAAAATGATGGCTCTTAACCGTAAACACTTGCGCGCTATGATCTATTATGATTTAAAATTTGTTTTAACCAAACAATTGAGCTTACAACGGCTACAATCGGCTTATGGGGACTCAGCTCCATCACGCGCAATAATTTTTAGGTGATTTGCTTAATTCAAAAGGGGTAAAAATAACCTTAAAGATGACCAAAGAACACCGCAAATGGCTATAACGGCAGAAAATGTATGGACTACTGAAATGTTGGTGCGAGAAGACCACGAACCACATATACGAACATCGAAAAGATTGTAGGCATTCGGGGAACATTCATACATTCCTACATCAACATATTGGAGTGAGAAAGCTTTGTTGTCGATGGATCCCTCGTTTGCTCTACGAAAACGAAAAACAGACTCGTGTGGATTGGTGCCACGAAATGCGTCTACGTTTTGAAAACGGGGCAACTAGGCATGTTTCACAATTCAAATTCGTGTCATTCATGTCAATTCGTGTTACAAATCGTTACTGGTGACGAGACATGGATCTATCAATGTAATCTGGAAAATAAAAGGCAATCGCTATGGGTCTACTTAGAAGGACAGTTATCGAAAAAACTGCAAAGACCACCAAACTTCAGCTAAAAAATGGTGAATAGCTTTTTTTCGCGGAGCGGATATTCGTCGACATCAATGCTGGAAAATTGTAAGTCAGTCAAATCTGAATAGTATACTACAGTTGCATTACCCAAAGCTTTTCAAGCTGTGTGGGAGAGAAGACCAAAGAACGGGCTTCTGGGAATCATGCTGCATCACTATAACGCCTCTTCACATACCTCCCATAGAAAAAAAGCATTTATTAAGGTGTTGAAACTCTAAGTCACCCACCCTATAGCCCTGACTTAGCTCCTTGTGATTTCTTTTTGTTCCCAAGAGTCAAAGAAAAAAATAAAAGGTAAGTTTTTTTCAAGCGACGAAGAAGCCGTGGAGACTGGCTCTGTCAGATCAGGACTGTTTTCAGAGTTGGTTTAGGCGAATGGAACATTGTATAGAGTATGATGGAGAATATTTTGAAAAGATGTAAAATAAATATTAATAGTATCTTTTTGTATATCTCAAAACTTATTGAGTGTCCTACGTATAATAAAAATGCTCGTATAAAAACTACGTATAAAACTATATCTCAGGGGATAACAGCAAGCTTTAAAATTTCAAAGAACTCGAGTAAACCGAGTTTGATTCACGTTGGCACCAAGAAATTTTTTTTCAACTAGGTAAGTACTGTCTACTGATCTACCATATAAATACAAGGAAAATATTTTCTTACAATTCACCTAGTTTTATTCCAAATAAAGTTCGTGGAGATGGCTTTTTTAGGTTTTTATTCACAAGTTTCACTTGCCGCATCGAGCAAACTTTGAAAGTAAAATTTATATAGATTTTTTTACGCCCTAACGAATTCAATAACTCGGCATGGCCTTATTCATAGCAAAATATTATGAAATACTGGTTTGAAATACGATTTTATTTAATTTTACTTTAGAAGGATTTATTTTTGAGAAATAAATATTTGCCTATTTTTATTTAAATATTATATAAATTATAGCCTTTGAAACAAAAATGAATAACATTCTTTATATTGTTATACGTGATATTAACGTGTTAATTAATAAAAAAATATCTATCACATATTTGTTTTTGAGATTGCAGGAAGTAAAAACAAAGTATGAACAATTTCAATTAAAGATATTTTTTTAAAGAATAAAGAAGATATTATAAACGGGAAGATTTTGCGCATTTTACATTTCTTTCCATCAGCCCTTATCTGTTCCGACATTTGTCTCTCCCAGCAGCAATAATCGACCATAATCGCTACGATTGGCTAACTAGTTATTTGTTGGCCAATGGCCAATGTAATTCTTTCGTGGTATCATTAGCCTCTCAAATGTGAAAACACACATTTTTAATAGGAATTAAGGTTTCCGTTTTAATGGAGTAGCCAATTTAAATTTAAATTAAACCTGCATGGTCCTGACTAAAACCATTTTTACACAAAAGCTGGAACATAATAAATTTAAAAATTAGATGAATTTCATATAGTGACTTTCAATTCTTTTTAGATTCATTATTTAAATTGTATATCGAGAAATCAATAACTAGAGTACTAGTTTTAAAATACAAGATCAAACATGGTTCTTACGCAGCAGACACTTTAGTAAAAATTGCGTTAGGAGAGAATACTATTAACTAACACACTATGCGTTTTTAGTTGTGTTCCTTTCGTAATGGAAACTTCGACTTACAATTAATTAAAAATAATGCTGGAAGCTGACCTTTTTTAAGAAGGAGCTCTCTCAATCTCAATTCTCTAGAAAGAGCTAGCTAAACCATGGCGTTGGACTTTAGTTTCTTAACAAAATTGACTCATTTGCACCAAATTGTACATATATATATATATAAATATATATATATATATATATATATATATAATAAAGAAATAAAGTGCCTCATTAATAAACTGAAGTACATAGAAAAGTACGTGTTGGAGCTTTGATAACCAGGCACAGATATAAAGAGATTTGCAACATAATAGTGACACGTGACGAAAATAGATAAGGCGTTAATCACAATGGCTGAACCCATGTTACATACCAGAACAATGTTTCAGGCAAAGCTCACTCAAAATTTAATTTAAGATTGCTAATCTTATGGGTACACTAGTCGCTTATTCTTCCATACAAAGGTAGTCTGGCGATTATTCCACTGTCTGATGGTGTACGTTCAAAATAAAAAATATTTCAATTTGTCTCATCATTATCTAGCCCTGTATGGAAACAAAAAAGTAAAAAAGAGTATGTTTAAAAGTTATAATCGTCGAAAATTCCAAATTTCAAAACTATTTTTAACACATTTTTGGGCGGAAATAAATACCATAAGAAGAATGAAAATTGCAAAACAGTTACCATACAGGGATAGATTAGTTGTTCAAAAATGCAAATAATTTTATTTTTAAACAGATACATTTAATAGGTTTTTCATGACATCCAGACTCTCAAAGGTCTGTTTATAAAATTTCGCGCGCTCCTTTTTGTTGTAAATCATCTTGCCTTTCGCTACAAATTGTTTCCCCGATCAGTGGGACGGACGGAGTGGGGGGGGATGCTCACTAGGTTAGCCGCTGCTATCTATTTATGATTGTAATACCTACATATCTACATCTTTATTTATCCCCAT